GTACCTCACCCGGGGGGACTGCGATCCCCCGCGATCCCACCCCCGAAATGACCTTTGGTTCTCACTGAGGATTCTGACTTTTATAAATATTTAATACATGCTGCTGAAATCACAATGACTGGTTTTGAATTATGTGCACTTTTAAAATGTTTTAGGGTTGCAATGTTTTCATGTCTAAGAACTACTGTATTTAGTAGTATAAAAATCTTTCCCTTTTTGTTTAGCGAAGGACATGGAAAGATTTCTGTGTTTGCTGTCAAAATGGCTCTGGCAACACTATGTGGGGGGAAGATCATGGATAAATTAAGATGTAAGTATTTTTGTGTTGCTGTATGTATTGTATTGATTTTTGTTCCTTTCTATGGAAAGCAGTAGTAGCAGAGAGCCCTATTGGGAATGGAATTTGAATTTAACACAGCATTTTGGTAACATTCATATGAATCTGTTAGCAGTCAAACCCATCCTCTCATTGGGGGCAGTTTATTGCTAGAAAATCATAAACACCCTTCCTACAATATCATCTTAAATATCATAAATGCAATATACTGCCTGGCCTAAAATGACATAAAATGGATGCCAGCCAAGGACAAGTCTGGACATATAGTTTAGAGGTGTGGGAAAGAGCAGCTGGCCAGCTAACAACTTCCTCCCCACCCTAGAGAGATGCATAATTTAGGACAAAGGGTTGCCCAAGAACATCTTGCCTCACCTTGGATTTATCTCATCAAACCCAGCCTCACTTCCCCTCACCCATTTACCCCAATTAAGCAACACTTAACACTATTCACCACACCTGGTAGCTTTTCCCATCTGGCACTTACAGGGTCATCAAGCACCATTCACACCTATAGTTCACCTCAGGTAAACCCATCAAGGTTTTCCCAAATCATTGTCCAGCTCTGGACAAACCATTAAGTTATTTTTTGGGGGGACAATAAAGTATGGCATCCTGCTCCATAGTAGTGTGTGTGTGTGTGTCCTTGGATCCTCTGCACATCCCCACTTGTATGTGGGCCTTTTCCTCTTCTCTGTGAAACACTGGTCGTTTTGCTGCTGCTTCCATGGACCTCTTTTGTCTAGACTGGTAACTATACCCTTCCCCAAAATTGCTCTCTCCCCCCTCCTCCATGATTTCCTTTTAGCTAGCCTTGTATGTGCTTTCAGTGTGTTTGTATGCATGTTGTGCCCTTTTATTTCTCTTTTAATAACACTTTACCAGCTGAACATCTACCTGGTTTATTTTGAGAGTTCTCATGAGGGAAAATCCCCGTAAACATTGGTGGAGAATTCCAGTTACTCACTTTGTCTCCTTAAATTAATTTCCCCAGTTAGTAAGTACTTTTTTCAAGCCCATTTATTGTTTGGAGTCACTCAAGGAAAAGCCCCCATTTCTGATCTAAACAGGATTGTGTGGTGGAAGCTGGTTCTCTGGCCATTCAAGTTCCAGTTCATTTATATGTCAAAAGTAGCACCTTGCATTGTATCTAGAAACAAACTGGAAGCCATCAAAAATCTTATATCATGATAGCACTCCACAGACAGCAGCCTGTTCCCTTTATTTTGAATCAACTGAGGTTTCTGAACACTTTTTAAGCACAACCCCACATATAATGCATATATAATCTGACCTGGATGCAACCCATGCATAGATAACAATGACCAGTTCAGCTCAAACTGTTGGGATTTGTAAAGAGTGGCTAAAACAAAATATTTTTTTAAATTTCTCTCCTCCTTTTCTTCTTTATTCCATCAGATATTTTCTCCATGATTTCAGACTCCAGTGGTGTAATGGTTTATGGAAGATATGACATGTTTCTGCGAGAAGTTCTTAAGCTTCCCACTGCAGTCTTTGAAGGTCCTTCTTTTGGCTACACAGAACAATCAGCAAAATCCTGTTTTGCTCAACAGGTAGAAATTCATAGAATCATACAAAATTTTATTGCATCTCACAATGATATCCAGTGCTAGTTTCATAGGATTTTGATATATATTTTAAAAGTAATGGCAAACGTTTTCAGTAAAACACCAAAGGAACAAAGTGTGGCGTGCAAAATGAATGATGAGTTTCTTGATCTTTTTAAATTAAAGTACATTTGCCAGGATGTGGAGCTCTGGCCTTGCAGGGCTTCCATAGTGTGGGATAAAATTAACCTGATCTTTTAAAATTAAAGTACATCTGCCAGGATGTGGAGCTCTGAATTTGGTTAGAGCAGCAACAGGGACCTCCATATCCTTTGCTCTGCAGGCATAAAAGCAGCTTGGGAAGGATGATTTTGAGTAGAAAAACTGCCTGGACAGGAAGATTAGGCACCTACTTCCCTCCCTGTGCTGTTTCCATCATATTCACATCACCTTGCAGCTGCCTTTATTGGGGGACTCCTGCCATATCTCCCATTTCACATCTAGTTTAGTCCTAAATGGTATTCATTGGAATTTTCCATGACTCCTGCACCATTTTAATGAAATAATTTAGATACAAAGCCAAATTAAACATTTGACACATCTGTTTGTGAAATAGTTTATCTTCTCAGAAATGATTCATACTGGGGCTATAGAACAGAATACAGCAATACCCAATAAAGCATAATTTTTCAGGCTTTTAGAACTCAGAGTCAACCCAACTAAGAATTAACCAAATCTTCTATATAGGCTCCGGTCACATGGGCAGGAAAATGCGGGGGGGAAGCGTGGCTGTTTGCCCTGGGGCAAACTAACGCAGGGTTAAGTGATCAGACCTCCTGTGGAGGTCCCGTGGAGGTCCCGTGGGTAGGGAGAGGTGCCGATCACAGAACGGTCCTGCACGCAACCAAAAAGCGGCGCGGTGCGGCAAACTGGGTTTTTCCCCCTGTGTACACCAAAAATGTGCATGCTCCGTTGAGTGCCTGTGCGCATCCACGGAGACTTGGGGGGGAAAAACCTTTTTTGCAAGGGGACATGGGCGGTCGCCGGATGCTACCAAAACGCAATCAGACGCCTGCCCTTGCCCTGTGATTTCCGGAAACTAGTACCTCCGAGGTCTTCGGTTGAGCCACGGGAGCGCTACGCTTCCCAGATGTGCCGGTGAGATCGCGCCTGGAAAATCCACCTGTCTTCTGTCTCTCTAGCGTGGCCAGGGGTCATTTCGTAGAAAAAGAGCTAGGGAAACTCATTAGCATAACTCATTAGCATATGCCACACACCCTGACATCAGGGGCCCGGCGGTGGACCTGCAAGGCCAGCGGGATTGTGAGGAAGCCCCGCCAAGGCCCTCCCTGGCCCCAGGCAGGCAGGGGTGGGGAGAGGTGGGGAGGAAGCAACTTACCCTCCCTCTTCTCCTGCCTCCATCTGGCTGAATGAGGGCTGGAAGCGGGGCGGCTGGAAGCAGGGAGCAGGGCTTCGTCATGTGCCCCGCCCCCTGCACCTCACCCGGGGGAACTGCGTTCCCCTGCGTTCCCCCCTGAGATGACCTCTGAGCGTGGCTAATGTTCCGTGTGACCGCAGCCATAAATGAGAGGACTTGCACACAGGATAGTTCCTGGAACTCTGTACAGGACAAATTTATTAGAACAAAGCAGCAGCTCTTCTTCAGCTCCTGTCTTTCCAGATCAGAGTGGGATAAGTGGTTTGTGGTAGTTCGTGGTTCTTTGGTAGTTTGTGGTAGTTCGTGGTTCTTTGGGTTCCACAAACCATGAACTTTCAAGAACTTTTCAGTTTGCCAAACCAGTTCATGCGGTTCATGAGTTTGGGAGGCAGTAGAATGGCCCCCTCACAAGAGATACCAAACTCACAGGGAGTCTTCAACAGGCTCTCCTCCACCCACCAAGTGTGGTGAAAATTGGATTTATGATGTCTGAGTTATAACCCCCCAAAGCAGGTGCTCCCAGGAAGGCTCAGCTGTAGCGTCAGGCTCAGGAATGCAAATCTGAAGCCCCCTGCAAGCTGAAGGCAGCAGCAAATCAAGATTAACAGCACATCCTGCTGGGATGTCCGTCTGACCTCAAGTCTGGTGAGGAGAATTGGCTGTGGGGGGAAATAACAGTAGCGCCCCTCCAAAGCACATTCCCACATGAAAGTGCTCTTCAGAAATTAACAGGAGGTGCTTACCCCCTTGCCAGGGAGGTGCTGGTCAACTGCCTGACTCTGTCTCTCCCTGGGGGCTGGGGGGTTGACCTTCCCACCCCTGCCTCTTGTGAAGATGGTGGCTGACCCCTCCCCTCACGCAGGGGAGGTGGCCCCCCAGTGGTGGCCAACCCCATTACTATTTCCACCCCACCCCTGGCCCCTGCCATTCCCAGAACAGCAGCCTCTTTTCCCATAGTCTGAAGGACACTGTCCCCCAGCTGAGAGGCAGGTGTGTGGCTCAGTGATGCAAGAGGTGTACTTTAATGCATAAAAGTAAAGGAAACCCCTTGGTGGTGTTGTTTTTAAAGAAAAAAGAGCTTGCCTCCCCCACCAGGCAATGGCAGAGAGAGGCTAGTAGTGGCAGAGGTCCTTCCTGAGGAAGAGGCATTTTTTAATAAATAAAAGCAAAGGAAACCCTAGCAAAAGGTGTTTTTTTCTCTTAAATAAGTAAAGGAAAGACAACCCAAAGAGTTTGCTCCCCCACACCTGGCACTGGCAGAGACAGGCTAGTAAGTGTGTGGCTCAAGTCCCTGAAACTACAGCAAGGAACACCTTCCCAGTTAGGGCCGGCTCACCCACTAGGTGAACTAGGCATTCGCCTAGAGCGCCGGGCCCTGGATAGGGCACCAAACTGTGCCTCCCCCTGCCAAAAGTCCGCGCACCATTGCTGCTCCCAGCCACGTGGCATGGGGGCGCAAAAGGGGAGCGCAAGCCCGCCTCGCCTTCCCCCTCCGCCCATGGTCGGCTTTTGTAAATCCAAATGCGGGGTGTTTTGTTTTGGGTGCCCAGAAACCTCGCTGCCTCCACCTCACTCACCTAAGATGTCTGGCCACAGGATGGGGAGCAACAGCGACTCCCAATCCGGCTCCTGCGCCTCTGTCTCTTCGCGCCGCCTTTGCATTTACAATGCACCAACTTTGAGCTCCTCATTCTCGAACTCAGAAGCTCTCGCTGCTGCTACCGCAGCTTCAGCAGAGATTGCTCGCTGCCCTCTCCCCCCCCCCGCAAGGCTCTGGCTGCTCTCTTAAAAGGGCCGGTGCCACTTCAAAAGTGCCCTCGGAGTCACCCGCAACGTCCACTTGGCTCGGGCTCGCTCCTTGAGGGGAGTTTTGTCCCAAAAAAATGCAAGTGAATGGAACCTCCACCTCAGATCCTCTTGGCATTCAGATGCATCGCGGCTGCAGTCTTAAGAGGGCACTTTCCTGGGAGTGAGTCCCGTGGCATGATGGGGGACTTCCTTTTGAGTAAACCTGCAGCGGATCAGGGGCTGACGGGAGGGGAGGCAGCCGGGGGGGTGGCTGGTCTGGGGGGGTACACGGGCTTGGCCGGGACTCCCCTCCTCTCCAAAGGGGGAGAGAAGTTGGACTTCCTTCTCTCCAGGCACCGCCTGGAGGTTGGCAACCCTGTAACTGGGTGCAGGGGCGCCAGAAGTTATCTTTGCCTAGGGCGCAAAAAACCCTCAGGCCAGCCCTGTTCCCAATCAGGAGAGGTGTATAAAAATTATCCCACTATGTGTGGGGGAAAAGGAGTCCCACAAAGCCTCCCCTTGAATCATCCAGCAGCAAGCAATTCTTCTCCTAACTCTCTCTCACTCGATGACCAACTCCTCTCTCTTCCTGCTGCAAAGTGAAAACAGCTGAGTCAGGGTGTGGTGTATATGTATATAATCTGCTCCCATAGAGCAGAATGGGAGCTCTGTAGGTTGGCTGTCGGAGCTGCCGATCAAGCTATGGATAACTACTATGGGTGTTTCTAGGGCTCTCCACAAGTCTTAGGTATTGATTGAATTGGCCCCCAGGCTGTCTGACCAACAAACCTCTCTAACGAACCACCTGAACCTCCACAGAAAAAATGGCAGTTCATGGTTGGTTCGAGAATGGAGTGACCAAATGAACCACAAAATAAACCACAAACCAACACGGTTCGAGTAAAAATTCAGTTCATTTTGCAGTTTGTGCCCATCCTTAGTGAGCACTCTGTGGTTCGGGGTAGGGTAGTGACAGTAGGAAACAGCAAGTCCAGCATGTCAATGCAGGTACTGGGTCAATGGGCATTCAACCCACTCAACTGCTGACAAATGAAGGTGACTAATGTCACACTATATCAAGAGGGCTTCCATAGTGTGGGATAAAATTAACATGTTTTTATTTTGGTACACTAAGAAAACCTTTTATTTTGAGTGGACACTTAAGTAACAATTACATGAGCACTGAAGGTACTTTATACTGCATGAGACTATTGGTTCATCCAGTGGCAGCAGCTTTTCATGTTCTTTTGAAAGCATTTCTTAGCCCTGCTGTCTGAGATTCCTTAACAGGAAATGTCAGGGATTATTCTTGGGAGCTTTTGTATGCAAAGCACATATTCTGCCATTGACCTATGGCCTTCCTCCTAGTTGAATCAGTGGCACTGATATAGGAATTACTGGGTTTTACAGCTACCTAAAACATATTTAAACCACAATGCAGTACAATTTTTTTTAATAAGCTGAAGGTTTGCGATACTGAGGTTTATCTGCTTCTTTATCCATTCGTACATGGGTGGGTTTTTTTAGTACACTAAAATCCTATGCTATTGAATTGTTTCTTTTTTTTATTCATGTAAACAGAAAAAAGTCACGTTGAATGCTTTCTTGGACACTCTTATGTCTGATCCTCCACCACAGTGTCTGGTCTGGTTACCACTTCTGCATCGGTTGGCAAATGTTGAGAATGGTATGTAACTAAAGCATAAGAAGCACCTGACATATCAGTGTGGGTCCCAAGAACTACATCTTTCTCCAGGAAATTTAAGCCTCGTGTGTCACTAAAAAAGGAAGATTGGCTAAGGATACGGATTGCAAGGGACTAGCTGCGTTATTCCATTGTAGCAAAATTTTTAAAAGTCCAGGGCACCTTAAAGACTAACAAGATTTATTTCAATATGAGCTTTCATGAAACACAGCGGACTTCTTCAGATATGTATGTGGAAGGAGATTGAACTGGAAATTCTACTAAAAGGGAAGGATTGGGGGGGGGAGTTAAGGCAGAGAGGTTTGAAATCTGTCATGAGTATTTGAAGTGTGAATTCCCTATGTAAGGGAAGAAGAGGGTGGTTGAGAAGAATGCAGGTGTGAATTGTCATGAATCTTCCAAGTGTGAAATCTCTGTGTAAGTGACTAGAACACGATTAGCTGTTTACAACCTATAAGCAAAGTGATGAAATCTACTCAGGGAGAAGTAGTCTGAAGTTTAAGTGAGATTTAATGGATACTGGTACAAAGATATAGCCTGATATAGTGTTTAATTGCTTGATGTGTTCTAATTCAGCACTTTCATGTTATATATGCCCTTTGAAGGTTTTTTTTTGGGGGGGGGTAGAATCGTGACTTTCAGATCAGTGATAGTATCCACAGGGAGATTAAAATGTTACTCCTCTGTTTTCTGGAAGTTGTGATTTCTTATGTTTGATTTGTGTTCATTGATTCTCTCATGCTGAGATTGACACATTAGTACAAGGGCATTCCACACTAGACCACTTCCTTCCTATTACACTGCTGACAATGATGACAATGACGGTATGAATGCAGATATTTTAAGTGCACCACAGAAAATAGTTTTTACAGTTTTACAGTTCTTCACTAACAGTGGTGTGATGTATTTACAGTCTCTTCCTAGCATCTCCAGTGCAGAGGGCTTACAGTCCATCAGGTTCTTGTTTTGGCATAGCCCCATTGCTTCTCCTGTGCCAGGTCACCCACCCTACAACAATCCCGAACATGAGAAGTGGTTGGAAGCTACATTGTTAACCATCTACCTGGCTTGTCTTAATGATAAAGGTCTATTGTTGTCCTTGTCACCATGCCACTCCTCTAAGTGACAGTGAAACCAATGGGAACCTAGGTATCAAAAGGGATGAATAAGGCCAAAACAAGTGAGCAGTATTTGCCACTGTCACTGCCTTCACTGTGAATACTCCCCTTTAGCTGCTGTCTGCTGCTTCCTCTATTTTGTGCTCTAGTTTGTTCCAGAATAATTGGTTGTTAATACAGGAGAGTTTAGATACACAATTCATAATCCACCATACCTTAGTATCCTGTGTGGTGAAAGGGCACTTCATCCCAGATATTTGTGTAAAAGTTTACAACTTTGCAAGATGACTGTTGAATTTACACTCCAGCACTAAAACTCCAGCCCATCATAAAAATATCATAGACCATAAAAACAGACCACAGACAGCTTAAAATAAATTTCCAGGCTAAAATAGAGTTAAAAGACTGGATAAACAGAAATATTTTGACCAGGCACCTAAAAGAAAGCAGCACAGGTACCAGGTGAGTCTTAAGGAGAAGAGCATTCTACAAGCGAGGTGCCACTAATGAAAAAGCCCTGCCTTTGGTTGCACCAGCCTCATCTCTGCAGGCAGAGGCACAGAAAGCAGTGATTGTGAGGCAGATATTAACTGATGGGCTGGACAATACAGGAGGAAAATAATGCATGTAGTCCAAAGGTTGCCATGTAAGCCTTTTCCTGAGCATCCTGTCTGCTTAGATAGTTGGAGTGTCTATTCATATGTTTATGAAGTTAATCAGAAGAAAAAAGACATGGTTTTTGTGGTTTTTCTTTTTTGCACAAGTAGCCCTTGAAGGTGACAGGAGCCCTCTAGAATCTTCCACCCACTAGGTAGCAGGGGGGTGTATATATAGACTATATAAAGGATATTTGTATTTTTGTGGGAGGTCAGAACACATGATGAGTTGAGAAGAGAGATGAGAGGATTCATTTTAAAGGACAGGGTTTAGTCAAACCTCAAAGCAGAGAGTCAACAAGTTGGCAGAAAAAGATGAAGTCACAGAGTTCAGACAAGAAGTATAGAAACAAGAGTATTTTCCCTACCTCTTCATTTACCATCCTAAGGAGTAAATTGTAGACTTCGGTTGAGAGGATGTGTGTAGCACCCTATTCATTATCCTTTGCTCAAATATTGTGTGTCAATTATTGCTCATATCTGTACTTTTTTTTAGTAACTAATGAGTGCTTATACAAGTAAAACTTTTCCCCCTGAAACTGGTGTTATATGGTCTTGGCACAAACTTATAAAAGCCTGATTCATTTGCACCAGGATACAAAGAATATGTAGGGAGATACCTACCTGAGTCTGAAGAACTCTAACAAGTGAGATTTCCAAAGTTTTCCTTTACATCCATGGTGGTTTGGAGTATGATGGTGATTCCTGAGTTGAAGAAAAGTCTCTTCAGAGAGAAAAACAGAAGGTCTGAGTTGTAGGTTACCAGAAAAAAATCTCTAACTCCAAACCTCTTGGTGGCAGTAAAAAGGAATACATTTTAGTGTGTGTGACCGCAGCCTATGTGTGCTGGGGGGAGTAGATGGAATAAAGCTAGGGAGATGAACTCCTTATTGAGGTTTGGCAGCTTGAGGGAAAGGGGGTAGCTGAGTTACAGACCTGGACCAGCTAAGTAAATTCCACATCCCTTATGGCAGGACAAAGTGCTGTGGGGCATGTTTGATCACTTCCAGCAGTAGCTATTTAAAGATCCCCGTTTTCATGATTTTCCCTCAACTGCAGTACAACCAAGAGAAGAGAACATACAGACTGGGGAAGGCATTTTTATGCTCATACCTCCTCTGGGGGTATGTTTATGCTTCTCCATATATGGAAGGACGTAATATCAGTTTTCTTTGTTTTGCTGAATGGCTTTTATCCTTAGACATGTACAGTGGGCTGTATCCTGCTTTAGGACAGAGGAACTTCCTCCAACTTCCTCCAGTGGTTCTTCCTCCAGTGCTAGAGCAATTTGAATTAGAGGAAGCCTCCTTAGCCTTCAAGAAGACTTCAGACTTTGTTTAGTGAAGTGGTAGGATACAGGCCAGTGTCTCCTGAATTATATCTTTTGGAGACAATCTCAATGTGGCCCACTCTGTGGATTCCTAAATCTGGAGACTAGAGCCATGAACAGAAAAGACAGATCTTTTAGAAACTTGAGAAAAGCTCCAGGTTTGCAGAAAAACCTGTAATCTTTTTTTTAAAAATACATTGAGGGGTTAACACCCCCCTCCATAATAGAAGCAATCGTGAAGAAAGGAATGCCCTCTCAGAGCCACAGTGGGGGTTGCTAGGCAACCACAGTATTGCCAGCCTTCAGACATTGCTTTCTGTCAGGAAAAGGAAGGGGGGAGCCCCCTTTCCAGAGCTATTTTGGCCTTCCAGTTCACCACTGCTCTCCGTCTTCCTGCCCACAGAGGGAAGATGCATCAGGGCCAGTAGCAGCAACTACCAGAAACTTGCTACCTGGTGATTTGCACAGCTCACTCAGGTGCAGTGGTGGCTACCAGACATCATGATGCCATATAACTCGCCTGGGCCCACTAACAACCTCTGCACAATTTGAGAGACTTGGCCAAGCCCAGCAGCCACTCTCACACATGTCATCTGAGCGACTTGCTACTGCACGATTTTTATAAGTTGGCCAGGGGAAGGTTGCCAGGGAGAAGGAAGGAAGGAAAGCTGAGCCAGTTTGGTATAGTATTTAGAGCGTCATAGTGGGATCTAATAAGGCCCGGTTTAAATCCCTACTCTGCCACGAAAGCTTGCTGGGTGATCTTGAGCCTGTCACTCTATCTCTCAGTCTAATCTATCTCACAGGACTGTCATGGAGATAAATTGGAGGACAAGGAGAATGATGTAAACTACTTTGGGTCCCCATTTTGGAGAAAGTTAGAGTACATATAAAGTAAATAAATAATAAAACTCAAGACTAGGGGGGCAGATAAGAGTTGTTTGATGAGTGGGAAGGAGAGCTGCCAGGAGGAGAGAAAGGGGATATAATGTGGGCAAAAAGTAAATACGGGGGGAAATGAAGTGACCTCCACAACTCCTTGTGGGTTCTCCATTTCTATTGGGTAAGACTGAAACAGATCATTTACCCTCTGGCTCCATGTTGCTAAAGGATACAGAAATTGTTTGCCCTAACTGCTGCTTTGAGAGATTGTCTCTCTTTTTCGTCAATATGAGGGATACAGAGTGATGTTCTTATGTTTTGTCTGTTTCGAGACATTGAAAAATAGTCTCATTGATTTCTATAATCCTCACTTGTACTCTGTCTCTCAGTTTTTAGTCAGGCTCTTGTGAAATTACTACTTATGGAAAACTGTTGTAGGTTATCTATATACAATATTGCTACTTTCATGAGGTCTGATTGGACCTAAGCAGAGCTTCCTGATAGGGTACTCTGTATAGCTTCAGGACCACTAGGAGGTCTTTATTAGACAGCCAATCACGACAAAGGAAACTAGGATACCTTAGCACAACCCATAACTAAACAGCATAGAATAAACTCAGAACATAACATTATAAATGCTGTATGAAGCAGATTGAGTTAGATTTCCTGCTTTACCCTGTTGTTAGATTTCTGTCCTTTAAAGTAACATTTCCTTCTGGTTAAGCTCACAGATATGTATGAGAGTTTCAAATGTTACCTCAAGTTCTTTAGTTTGTAAAGCATACCTTTACTAAATGTGACTTCTCCTACCCAAATTTCAGTGTGCTTCACATATGTAACTCTGACTAGGATAGTTACAAGTTTTATCTTTGTTATATTACATACAAACTATGCAACATACAATTTTAAATTGCTGTCCTTGTTCAGGGCTCTTTTTGTAGCAGGAACTCCTTTGCACACCCCTAATGTAGCCAATCCTCCAAGAGCTTACAGAGCTTTTCTTACAGGGGCTACTGTAAGCTCTTGGAGGATTGGCTACATTAGGGGTGTGTTGCCTAATATGCAAAGGCATTCCAGCTACAAAATAGGGCTGCCAAGCCGCGGCGAGGGATCCGTGCGTCTTCACAGGATCCCTGCCGCGGGGGACAGCGATACGCGTTGCACCGCCGTCGCCAGGATGTGACGCTACGCGTCGGTCTGGCAATGGGACTCCAAACAGCCCTGTTGCCAGAGCGACGCGTAGCGTCACATCCTGGTGACAGCGGCGCAACGCGTATCGCTGTCCCCCGCGGCAGGGATCCTGTGAAGACGCACGGATCCCCCGCCGCAGCTTGTCAGCCCTACTACAAAAAGAGCCCTACAGTTACTATATACCTTTCTTTCTCTTTGAGTAGACCAGAGTAGAGTACTTTTTACCCAAAGATTTTTCTTAATTCTCTTGTTCTCTTGTGTTGTTGTTTTTCCTGACACCACAAGGGGCTTTTCTTTTAGACAGCAACAGATGATTCTTTGTTTGGGAGAAAATTGTGAAGCTTTTACATTTACATTTCAGGCACTTTAAGAATAATGTTTGATGCTGAAAATCGACACATACAAAGGAAAGCTTCAAGCCCTGTTAGTGGCTTCAGTTTTAATGCTGTGCTGATTGTTTCTTTTGTTTTGTTTTTACATCTTTCTCCCCTGTAGTCTTCCACCCTGTTGAGTGTTCCTACTGCCACAGCGAGAGCATGATGGGATTTCGCTATCGATGCCAGCAGTGTCACAATTACCAGCTCTGTCAGGATTGCTTCTGGAGGGGACATGCCAGTGGTTCCCATAGCAACCAGCACCAAATGAAAGAATACACGTCATGGGTAAGGGAAGGTTCATGAATTGCTGCAGACTGTTTGAACTCCACTAGCCAGAGAGAAAACCCCAAGGACTGGAGT